GGACTGACCTAGGGTGAATTTTAAATAGGGATAATTTTTAATGATTTTAATAAGAGACACAGCTACAAATATTTGGTTTTTAATTGGCTTTTATTGGGGAAATGTACTATGTTGTTTTAATATGCTGTGAGCCGCCCTGAGTCCCGTGGGGAGAAGGGCGGCATATAAGTCTTAAAAATAAATAAATAATAAATAAATAGAAGGGACCTTCCCTAGTTCCTCAGGCTGTACAAGGGGGAAAATATAAATCTATGGAAAGATTGTGTGCGCAGGGGTATGTGGGAAAGACCTTGGGAGATGGAGCAAAAAGATCCTGCTTAGGAACGGTCAGATAAGAGAGAGCATAGCCCTCAGCTGTGTAACAGGTAGGGTGAGAGGCTCAGAAGGCTGTAAAGTGGGGGTAGAATCTAGATCTATGGGAAGAATAGAATAGAATAGAAATACAATAAGAATAGAATAGCAGAATATAGAATAGAAATTAGAATAGAAAATAGGTCAGATAAGAGACAGCATAGCCCTCAGCTGTGTAACAGGCAGGGTGAGAGGTTCAGATGGGACCCTCCCTAGTTTCTCAGGCTGTAAAGGCGACGGCGGGAAAATTGTACTCTCAAACTTCCAAGAATCTTTGAATGTAGCTTTACCGTAAGATAGAATTAGTTCATCAAGTTGTGATTCCTATCCTTATCCGCGAGGCCCACACTTCCATACTGGGCTAGAGGTGGAGAAATAGATCCAGTGCTCCCTGCCAACAACACCCCCTTTTTCTGCCCCCCCCCCTGTACCCAGGAACGGGAAGTGAGTGTGAAATCCACTTTTGATTCCCTGACCGTGTGGAACCTGGAACAGGCGCCAACTAACAGCGATGAGATCTTCATGGCTCTTGCTTGGCCTAAGATTGCTCAAGGGGTGAGTGTTGGTTGACTTCGGCATCAAGAGAGGGAGGGGAGTCCTCCAGACTACAACTCCCAGAATTCCTTCAGTCTCCCTGAGAATTCTGGGAGTGGAAAGTCCGCTCTGTGGCTGGAAGGCACTATGAACTAGCTTTGGGGGTAGGCAACCTTGGCTCTTTTATGACTCGTGGACTTCAACTCCCAGAATTCCTCAGCCAGCATGGGGGAAACTATGGCCCCCTTCATGACTAGTGGACTCCAACTCCCAGAATTCCTGAGCCAGCCATGCTGAGGGGAAAGGGAGAGGTTTCCAAGCTGAGCCAGGCTGGCTCAGGAATTCTGGGACTTGAAGTCCACAAGTCATGAGGGGGCCATAGTTTCCCTCATGCTGGCTCAGGAATTCTGGGAGTTGAAGTCCACGCGTCATAAAAGAGCCAAGGTTGCCTATCCTAGCTTAATGAAGCCTAGGTGCCTTCCAGCCAAAGCGGACTTCCACTCCCAGAAGTCTCAGGGAGGCTGAAGGAATTCTGGGAGTTTGATCCAGAACCGTGAAACAGGATTGAGACGGAATCGAAAAAACGGATTTTGCGATCCACGTAAAGCCACGTGGGATTGTTTTTTCCCCCGGTTTTGGCTTGTATAGGTAATGCAAACTGTAGCAACCCTTTTAAAAATACAACACCGGAACAGACAAAATGGATGCAGGAAACCGGCAGAGCAAAGGGTGAACTGTAATACTGAGGGCTAGAAACTTGATTTTAGTTTGAAACTTGATTTTGGTTTGTCTACTGGGCATCTGCTAGATTTTCAGGGTTTTTTTTACTTTAGGATTATAGGAGTTCATTCCTGCTCTGAAGATTACAGGCAGTCCTCGACTTAATGGCAGAATTTGACTCAGAAATTCTGTTGCTAAGGGATGTGGTTGTTAAGGGAACCATGCTCCATTTTATGACGGGGTTTTTTCCCTGTCATGATCGTGAAGCAAATCAAATCTGGCTTTCCCCATTGACTTTGCTTGCCTGAAGCCCCCCGATAAAATTTGTCAATGGGGACCAGGAGACTCTGAGAGGCCTCTTGCCACATGCCTGAATTTTGAGGGGATGCTGTGATGGTCGTAAGTGTGAGGACTGTCGTAAGTCACTTTTTTTTTTCCAGTGATGGAACTTCACAGGGGTTAAAACAGTCGTTAAGTCGAGGACTACCTGTATGCATTTTGGCACAAGCTAAGGCCACTGATTTTTCTGTGTGGGTCTGCTTGCAGCTCCATGCCCCCGTGACGGAGGAAGAGTGAGGAAGATCACAGCGTTGTCTGAAGTGGTCCTCGAGAAAATACGTTGTACTCCGACTTAAAATGAGGACTTGGGTGGGAAAGAACACGGAATAAACTTCGGCCTCTTTTTGCTGTGTTAAGAACGTCGCTTCGCTTACTCCAGGGGTCTTCAAACGGTCTTTTATGACTTGTGGACTTCAACTCCCAGAATTCCTCAGCCAGCGTGCCTGGCTGAGGAATTCTGGGAGTTGAAGTCCACAAGCAGGGATCTTCAAACTTGGCCTGTTTATGACTTGTGGACTTCAACTCCCAGAATTCTTCAGCCAGTGTGCCAGGCTGAGGAATTCTGGGAGTTGAAGTCCACAAGTCCTAAAAGGGGCCAAGTTTGAAGACCCTTGGCCTACTCATTTTCCTTCCAAACTAAATTTGCAATTTATAATATTGTACAGCCTCTGGGAAAAACTGCCGCTTCCCATGGATCTTGGGCTGAGTTTTAATTATTTTTTGGGTTTTTATTTTTATTTTATTTTTTTGCTTCTGAGGGCTTTATTCCCACAGTGATTTGAGCACATCTTCTTTCCAACTGCAGACGAACAAGATTCTATTTAAATTTTTTGATGCCGGCTGGGTGCTCCTAGTGCTGCTAGCATTTTAAAAAGATAATAAAATCATCATTTCCAAACTAGTGGTATTCTGACTTTGAGCTCTGCAGTCAACTCTTTCGGGCCCAGAACGGGGAGAGGGAGGCTGCCAAAGAATCCCAACGTTTTATGAGAAATTAGCATCGCCACATGGCTTTTTCATTTTGTAAGGTCAAACTTCTTTCTTGAAAATTTGAGATTTTCATTGCAATTCAGAAAAAAACAACTCTGCTTTGCAAATCCATTTTCTTTGGATCCTGCTTTCCATATCAAGAGGAAGATAGGAAGGAAAGAAGGGATAAAGAAAGGGACAAAGGAAAGAGGTAAGAATAGAAAAGGAGGAAGGAAGGAGGGAAAAACAGGAGGAAAGAAAAAGGGGATAAAGGGACAAAGGAAAGAGGTAAGAATAGAAAAGGAAGGGATAAAGGGACAAAGGTAAGAATAGAGGGAGGGAGGGGAAAAAACGAAAAAAAAAGTGGGATAAAGGGACAAAGAGGTAAGAATAAAAAATGAAGGGAAAAACAGGAAGGAAGAAAAAGGGATAAAGGGACAAAGGAAAGGAGAGGTAAAAATAGAAGGAAGGGAAAAACAGGAAGAAAGAAAGGGATACAGGAAAGAAGAGGTAATAGAAGGTAGAGAAAAAACAGGAAGGGAGGGGATAAAGAAGGACAAAGGAGGTAAGAATAGAGGAAGGAAGGAGGGAAAAATAAAAGATAAAGGGACAAAGGAGGTAAGGAAGGAGGGAAAAACAGGAAGAAGGGATAAAGACAGGAAAGAAGGTAATGGAAGAAGGAAGGGAGGGGATAAAGGGACAAAGGAAAAGTAAGAGAAGGAAGCAGGGAAAAACAAAAGGGGATAAAGACAGGAAAGGAGAGGTAAGAATAGAAGGAAGGGAGGGAAAACAGGAAGAAAGGGAGGGGATAAAGAAGGACAAAGGAAAGGAGGTAATAGAAGAGGGAGGGAGGGAAAAAACGAAGGAAGAAGGATAAAGGGACAAAGGAAAGGAAGTAAGAATAGAAGGGAGGAAAGGAAAAAACGAAGGAAGAAGGATAAAGGGACAAAGGTAAGAATAGAAGGAAGAGATGGAAAAAGGACAGGAGAAGTAAGAATAGAAGGAAGGGAGGGGAAAAAACGAAGTAAGAAAGGATAAAGAGGGACAAAGGAAATAAGGTAAGAATAGAAGAAGGAAGGAAAAACAGGAAGAAAGGGAGGGGATAAAGATAGGGACAAAGGAGAGGTAATAGAGGAAGAGGGGAAAAAACAGGAAAAAGTGGGAGGGGATAAAGGGACAGGTAATAGAAAAGGAAAGAAGGGAAAAACAGGAAGGAAGAAAAAAGGATAAAGACAGGAAAGGAGAGGTAAGAATAGAAGAGGAAGGAAGGGAAAAACGGATAAAGACAGGAGAGGTAATAGAAGAGGGAGGGAGGGGAAAAAAAGAAAAGGGGATAAAGACAGGAAAGAAGAGGTAATAGAAAAGGAGGAAAAAACAGGAAGAAAAGGGACAGGAAAGAGGTAAGAATAGAAGGGGAGCGAAAAAAGAGAAAAGTGGGAGGGGATAAAGGGACAAAGGAAAGAGGTAATAGAAAAGGAAGGGAGGGAAAAAGACAGGAAGAAAAAATAAATGGAGAAATAAAGAACGAAAGAAGGGCAGGAGGGAAGAAAAAAAATTGGAGGGAAGAAAAACGGAAAAGTGAAGAGAAAGAGAAGCGGGAAGAGAAGAAAAAAAAATACAGAAATAAACACAAAACAAGGGGGTCTTTTACTTACAAAAAAAAAGGACTTTGTTCATTTATTCTGATCAAAGACATTGGGTGAGTGGCGGATGGTGTTTGTAAAGAGTTTTGCGTCTCTTTCCTCGGCTCTCCTGGCTTTTCCCGGATGAAGAGGCCCATAAGACGCCGTCTTCTAAGCTGGAGACGTGGATGGGAGGGCTCCTGCCTTGCCCCCCCCCAGGGTTCTGCCCCATAGCACTATCTCCCCCCTACCCAAATCAGCTGCTGGAAGGCATCCATTCTCTGGCCACGCCGAAGGAGCACCCCACAGTCTGCTCTTCTCCCCTGTACCCGAGCACCCTGGGACTCAACCCCATGGAAACCCCTTAGCCCCCTCCTCCAACCTGGGACTCAGGAGGATGGGGGGCATTCAGGAATGTCTGAACATATATATATATCTATATATATCTCCAAGCAGGGCGAGCACAATCCGACTGTGCTTTCCAACGACTGTACACAAAGACTTGCAGAGTCCCGTCTCGAAAAGGCCATCCAGGACGCGCAGGGCTGCTCGGAGTCCGGGGCGGGTAGGTGGGTGGGGCTCGGCCTGATCCTGATCCTGCTGTACACCGAAGTCTGGGGAAGCACCCCCCCCCCCGCCCCTCTGCCAGTTCGAAGGGCCGGGCTTTGGGAATCACCACTTCCCCCTCTTACTCCAGTCCTTGGGGGTGAAATGTAAACACTTGGAATCGATGCGCAGAATCCGCTTCAGCATCGCCCGCTCGTGCCCGTCCACAATGTCCTCGGAGAGTGTTAAAATATATTGGCCCTGGAGAACGGAATAACAGAAAAGACAAGAGTGGGCAAGGGGCAATCCATGCCCGTTTTTCGTGCTTCTCCACAAACCACGATAAAAGGCCTCCGGAGCGGGGCCTTTACTTACCTTATAATAATTGATGAGATTCAGATATTGAAGCGTAGAGATTACGTCTTCTTTTTTGATGCTCGTGATTTCGCTGATCTCGCTGGAAAAGACGGGGGAGGAAGGGGAGAAAACGCAATTAAAACGCTGAACCGGAAGAAAAACTGCCCCACCTAGAAGAAATTTCGGATTCCCAGGGGTCTCCAAGCGGGGCTGCGGACCGGGGAACTGGACAAGTGACCGTGTCAATCTCCACCTCGCGTATCCGAATAAAAGTTCAGGATTACTTTCATCTTTGAAAAGCTTAGTATTTATTGAATACATGGCCTGGTAAAGAGGAGGTAAAAACTGACTCTCAAATCCCAAGGCACCAGACCGTAGCATAAAACAACGACTTTCCCAGCCAAACTCCCCCGATATCCACGTAGCTCATGTAAGCAGGTTCTCTTTCTTAATGGGAACCGTCTGCTATCCTCTTCACGCCTGCTAGAATGTCCTTGAAAGGTTTCCAGGCTCTCTGCAAACTTCTGTAGAAGTGGAGAAGTTTTGTTTCCCTAACTAACCCCTTCGAAAGCAACACCTTTGCCCCCCCGTTACTCTAATGGCAAGGTGAAAACAGAGAGGCACGTAGCTGCCACATTTTCACTCTTGACAGACAGGCGAGTGAGCGGATCTTTATCTGCTCAAACTCATCCGCCCCCAGGCATGCAAAAATTGTCTTCCATGAAACTGGTTCCTGGTGCCAGAAAGATTAGGGACTGCTGATCTAAAGCTCCCAGAAGCCTTCACGTCCAACTTCCCAGAGTTCCCGGCAGATATGAGCATTTCCAGATTCTTTGCAAAGAGATGTGGTGGGGAAACCTTGCTACATCCGGCTCTGACTGAGCGTAGTTTTATTTTATTTCATTATTATTTTATTTTAGTTATTTTATTATCTTAGTTATTTTATTTTTTATTTTATTATTTTATTTTTTATTTTATTTTACTTCATTCTATTTTATTATTTTATTTATTTATATTTTATATTTTATTTTATTATTTTATTCTATTCTATTTATTTATTTTATATTTTATTATTTTATTCTATTTATTTATTTTATGAGTTTATTTATTTTATATTTTATTTTATATTTTATTCTATTATTTTTTATTTTATTCTATTTTATTTTATTAGTTTATTTTATTTCTGCAATAATGGCAGGAGGGAGGGAATTGACAGAATATTCATTTGCATAATTGGGGCTAAGATTTAACAATAGCAATAAAAATAGGGTAGTTTAAAAGGCTATCCATCCTCTCCCAAAACAGTTACAAGAAACAAATAAACAAATGCAGTAGATGAGGTATTTGTATTACATGCTTTGGATCAGAGGGTGGCTGGACAGATGATAGATAGATAGATAGATAGATAGATAGATAGATAGATAGATAGATAGATAGATAGATAGATAGATGAGAGAGAGAGAGAGAGAGAGAGATGATAGAGATAGATAGAAACTGGATGTGGCTTTTGTTCATAACTTCAGTTACCAAAAACATCATAAAAATGAAAATACTCTAATGGTAAGGATTGGTTCATCTTTAAAATTTCAGCACAACATTCTTCAGTTGGGGAAACCCGGTGTGGAAGACAGGATTGAAGAAAACAGCAATGAAAAAGGGGGGCCATCCCTAAGGAATACTGGCGCTCTAAATCTCTGGGCAATTCTGCTGCTTATATTTGGAGGGGCAAAGTCCCTCTTTTTCCCGTTTACAAACGGGAGAAGGCAAAGTAAAACTTTGCTTTTTTGTTTTGTTTTTTTTGGCCCGATCCACAACCAGAAGGGGAAAAAAAAACAAAAACCACACAGCCGAACGGATAGAACAAAACGAATTAAGATCCCAAAGTGGGAAGGGGCTAAACAGAGGTCATCTAGTCCAACCCCTCCCTTCTGTATTTCATCCCTACCACCAGGAAGTATAAAACAATACAGTTTTAATAAATAAAACCAAGCTTTCGATGGTTTCGCCCTCACTTGATGGTGATCTGTGGGCGCTCGCCGTTCTCCAGCTTGAGGTTCATCAGGATCTCCAGGATGGTCTGAGACCAGTAGCTGCGGTACGACAAAAGCCCCAAATCCGAGAGGGGTTTTTCCGGCGTGCCCGTCTTTCCTTCCACCTTGGACAGCTCGTAACCTGGAGGGGAAAGACGGAACCAAGTTAAATTAGAACTGCCCGGGATTTCAAGAAAGCGATCCAGGAACACAGAAGGTCCTCGACTTACGACAGTTCGTTTAGTAACACAGAGGAATTGCCTGGCTGAGGAATTCTGGGAGTTGAAGTCCACAAGTCATAAAAGGGCCACGTTTGAAGACCCCGGCACTAAACCGATGCTTCTAAATTGAAGACGACTGTATAGTTACTTCAAAACAGGAAAGGTCACTTACTGAATTCAATCAGCAGCTTGCCGTAACCCCGTCTTTGGTAAGGGGGTAATGTCAGAATGCACGCCACGTTATAATCTTCGGTGGATTCTTTTTCCTGCAAGGGAGAACGAGACAAACGCAGGGTGAGGCTTGGGCCCTTCCCGTTCCGAGCTGGCCAAGATTTTTGGTCAAACACAGATCAGCTGGAGAGCCAAAATTCCCGGGTTTTTATTGTAGAAAGAGTTTTGAATAAGAGACTATTTCCAAAGTCCTGGCGATTTGATCAGGAGCCAAATTAGCCAGTTTAGTCTAGTGGTGAAGACCAGGAGACGGTGAGTTCTAGTCCCGCCTTAGGCATGAAAAGTGGCTGGGTGACTTTGGGCCAATCACCAGGAGACGGGGAGTTCTAGTCCTGCCTTAGGCATGAAAGCCAGCTGGGTGACTCTGGGCCCATCACCAGGAGACGGTGAGTTCTAGTCCCGCCTTAGGCATGAAAAGTGGCTGGGTGACGTTGGGCCAATCACCAGGAGACGGGGAGTTCTAGTCCCGCCTTAGCCATAAAAGCCAGCTGGGTGACTTTGGGCCAGTCCCTCTCTCTCTCTCTCATCCCAACCCACCTCTCAGGGTTATCGTTATTTATGTGTGTTTGCCACCTTGAGTTAATTACAAAAGTAATAAAGGCAAGCTATCAATCAACAAATACATCCATCCGCAAGTCATCCAGAATTTAGCACTGGTTAACCTTTGCTCGTGCTTTAAATCCAAGTTTCTAGTCCTTAGGACCGCAAAGCCATTCTTCAGCTCCCAAACGCAATGCGGAGTTGAAGGACCCCCGCCTTCCTAGCCCCTTAAATAATTCCCCTCCCTCACTGTCTTTTCGGCATGGATTCCGTCACCTAAAAACTAGGGGCACCCCAATTTTTGGAGCCGAGCCAGGACGCACCTTGGAGAAATAGCCGACGATGTGGAAGCCTTTGCTGTCGTACTCGGTCATGACGTAGAAAAGGAAGGGATCCGTGTCGTAATAGAGGGTCTTGTGATCGAGGAAGCATTTCGCCAGGAGGCAAAGATTTTGAGAATAACTCTGGAAGAGGGGAGAAGAAAAGGGTGAACCAATTGTTGAAGTTAGGATCAATTAGGAAATTCGGGGCCTAAGGCAGGGGTAGGCAACCTCGGCCCTTTGATGACTCGTGGACTTCAGCTCCCAGAATTCCTGAGTCAGCATAGCGTGCCTGGCTGAGGAATTCTGGGAGTTGAAGTCCACCAGTCATCCAAGGGCCGAGTGTGAAGACCCTTGCGGTAAGGATATTTTTCTTGCCTTGTTCTTCCTGCCGTCAATCTCAAAGAAAGAGATGGTTCCTTTACGGTAGATTTCGTTGCCTGGCGGGTGCCTTAAGTCACACTTCATCTGCAAGAGAAGAAAAACCACAGAGTTGGGATTCCTTTCTCACCAAGGAACGCTTGCACGATGAGGACTAGCTGAATGGATTTACAATTTTTATGCCGTCCATCTACCCTATAAGACGACTCTGGGCAGCTTAAAATTATAAAACGAAGAGGAGGAGGAGGATTAAAACATGAAAACTACACGTTGTACTCAAAGTTACGAACAGAATTGAAAGCCCAGAATCTTATGTTGCTACGTGTAAAATTTGTTAAGTGAGTTCTGCCCCCTTTTACGACATTTCTTGCCCCTTTAGTTGAATTAGTAACACGGTTGTTAAGTGAATCTGGCTTCAGGTCACCACAATGTAAAAAAGATGTTGAGACTCTAGAAAGAGTACAGAGAAGAGCAACAAAGATGATCAGGGGACTGGAGGCTAAAACATATAAGGAACGGCTGCTGGAATTGGGGATGTCTAGTTTAACGAAGAGAAGGACGAGGGGGGACATGATAGCAGTCTTCCAGTATCTCAGGGGCTGCCCCAAAGAAGAGGGAGTCAAGCTATTCTCCAAAGCGCCTGAAGGCAGGACAAGAAGCAACGGATGGAAACTAATCAAGGAGAGAAGCAACCTAGAACTAAGGAGAAATTTCCTGATAGTGAGAACAATTAACCAGTGGAACAACCTGCCTCCATAAGTGGTGAATGCTCCAACACTGGAAGTTTTTAAGAAGAGACTGGACAGCCATCTGTCTGAAATGGTATAGGGTTTCCTGCCTGAGCAGGGGGTTGGACTAGATGACCTCCAAGGTCCCTTCCAACTTCTATTATTATTATTATTACTATTACTATTACTATTACTAATTATTATTATTATTAAATATGAACCAGTTGCCAAGCATCCGAATGTAAACCATGTGACCGTGGGGATGCTGCAACGGCCGTAAGTGTGAAAAACGGTCATAACTCCCTTTTCCCCCCAGTGATGTTGGAACTTTGAATAGCCCCTAAATAAACTGTTGTTAAGTCAGGGGCTACCTGTATAGAGATGGAAGATTTTAAAAACGGCAAGGAAACCAGAATTAAGAGAGACGGCCAAAGTGGGGTGGGCTGGGGACGATGGGAGAGCGAGTCTTCCACCTGATTGAGGGAAAGACTGAAGAAGGGATCGGGGACCCCTTTGATCCGGGGGGGGGGCGGGGGAAGGGGGGAGGAAGGAAGGGCCCTTACCAGATGCCTCTGGAGGCACTTAAGGCTCTTGACATACTTAAGGCAGAATTCGCAGAGGTAGACGACGGGCAGGGCGGTGAGCTCCTGCGGGTACGGCGAAAAGTACCAGGGCTTCAGGCGGTGGCGCCCCAGTTCGATGCATTCGATGTTCTTCATGCGGGTGACGATGTCATCGTGGCTGCGGTCGGAGACCAAGCTGCCCGTCATGCGGGGCGCCGAGGGGATCCCGTCCGAGCTGTCCTGGGAATCCTGCTTGCGAGAATCGAAGGGGGGACCGTCCGGGATGGGAGAAGAGGACAGGCCTGCTCCCCTCCAGGGTGACACCCAAGAGGAGCGCCCCCAGCTTCCCGACCCTGATGTGTACCTCATCTGTCCCAAGACAGTTGGACTTTCTCTTCCGGCCCGGCTGGGCGGCCACAGCTCGGCGGGCGGAGCCATTCTGGAGAAAAAAAGAGAAGGCGTCGCAAGGGGTCCTCGGCTTACGACCACGATGGAGCCCCAGATTTCTCTGGCTGGCTGAGATGATTTGTTAACTGAGCCTACACCCCATTTTACGAGCTTTCCTGCCCCGGTTCTTAAGTGAATCACTGCAGCTTTGAAGTTAGTAACACGGTTGCTCAAGTGAATCTGGCTCCCCCATTGGTCACAAAATCGGATCACAGGAGCCCGGGACACTGCGACCATCCTAAATAAATGCACAGTTTATTTAATGACCGTTTGAAGTTACATTTTTTTTTCACATTTATGACCGTCGCAGCATCCCCCGTGGTCACGTGATCAGAATTCAGACGCTTGGCAACGGATTCCTACTTATGACCGTGGCCGTGTCCCCTTTTGCGACCTTCTGACCAGCAAAGTCAATGGGGGAAGCCAAGATTCACTTAACAACCGTGGTCAATAATTTCACAACGGCGGCGATTCGCTTCGCCAATGTGGCAAGGAAAGTCGTAAAATGGGGCAAAACGCGCTTGACCCAAAAAAAATAATCTTGCTTAGCAGCAGAAATTTTGGGACTTGGTCGCCGTCGTAAGTCGAGGACTTCCTGTGTTCCTTTTCGTGCACTTACCTGGGGAAAAACCGAAGCCTGTGTCGTCTCGGTCACAACGGGGATGGGGGTTGCTGGAGAGACCACCTCCACTTTCCGTTTCTGGAAGAGACCAAAGCAAACACGGTCTAGGGGGGCCACCTGCCTCCCCCTCCTTCTCTTCCTCCTCCCCCCCTCCCCAATTTTCCAGCCTGCAAAAGATGGGGAGACTTGGCCCGGGATGGGTCGGCCGGCCCAAGCCTCTGCAACTACTGTCCAGGCCAGGGGTAGGCAACCTTGGCTCTTTTATGACTGGTGGACTTCAACTCCCAGAATTCCTGAGCCAGCCATGCTGAGGGGAAAGGGAGAGGTTTCCAGGCTGAGCCATGCTGGCTCAGGAATTCTGGTAGTTGAAGTCATAAAAGAGCCAAGGTTGCCTACCCCTGGTCCAGGGGAAGGAAGCTGGAGATGAGAAGAGGGGTCATAGGAGGCCTTGGATTGGTTGGATCGCTCTGCAGCATTAAGAAGGGTGGACTTCAACTCCCAGAATTCCCCAGCCAGCTTGCTTTAAGATGGGTGGGCTTCCACTCCCAGAATTCCCCAGCCAGCATGCTTTAAGAGGTGTTGGCTGGGGAATTCTGGGAGTTGAAGTCCACACATCTTAAAGTTGCTGAGGCCAGGAAACATTGATCTAAGCCTGCAGGGCTCTTCAAACTTGGCCCTTTGATGACTTGTGGACTTCAACTCCCAGAATTCCTCAGCCAGGCCGAGGAATTCTGGGAGTTGAAGTCCACAAGTCATCAAAGGGCCTAGTCTGAAGACCCCTGATCTAAAGCCTCAGGAAGAGGGATGGGGCACTGATTCTTCCCTGGCCCTCCTGGCAGAAGCCAATCCTTTTACGACCCCAACTTTGATTGATCCGTTGTAGCTTAGGAAAGCGGTTTTACACAGCATACAGGTAGTCCTCGACTTATCACCGTTCACTTCAGTGACCGTTCAAAGTTAGAACACTACTGAAAACAGTGGTGGCCATTTTTCGCATGTACGACCATCCCCACAGTCACATGATCAAAATCCAGACGCGTGGCGACGTACTTGTATTTATGACGGTCGTAGTGTCCCGGGGTCACGTGATCTCCCTTTGCGACCGTCTCAGTGGGGAAGCTGCATTCACTTAACGACCGGGTTGCTAATTTAAGAACCCCAATGATTCGCTTAAACAGCCGTGGTAAGGAAACTTGGTAAAATGGGGCAAAATTCACTTAACGAATGTCTCAGCAGCAGAAACTGTGGCCGTTAAGTCGAGGACTACCCATAAACTCATCTCCTTCTCAAAACAAGGCCAGGAGACCCTTTCCAGAGTTGCAGAAGCTTTGGTTCAAGAAATAAGGGGTGTACCAGGCCCACTCAGAAGCCTTACTTGACCCCCAATGCTAAACCCCACCGGTCAGAGTAGTGGGGAACCGTGATGTTGGTTGAGGGATCTGGCCCTACGGATTACATTTGCTTCCCTTTCGACAGCTCAAGAGGCACACAGATCGTGTTGGATTCTTGCCAGATCCCCCCCGTAACACCGGGAAGCAGTTTGGGATGAGGAAGTGTGACTGGATCCAAGTCATTCAGGGAACTTCGTTGGTTGGGCAGGATTTGAATCCAGGTCTCCGGCCTCTTAGCGCAGCCCCGTCTCCATCTAGCCACCCCTTGACTGGTAGGCTGGGAGGGAAGGGCTGACCCAAATCCTGCTCTGTGGCCAAGAAGGGATTAAAAGTGGAGTCTCCCCATCTCTAATACGAGATATTTATCTTATATTTATCGCTGATGGAAATTCAGTTATGGCTTCTTCTGCCTTAACGTTTGTCACAAAACAATCCTGCACGTTTATGAGCGACTGGTCCGGTGTTCACTCACAGAGCCAAGAAGGGGTAGAGCATCAATCTCTCTAGTTAAACCAGTTTCAAACTGGGCTAAATATGGAGGGTTTTCAGCACAGAATGGGAAAAGGGACCATCTTCCACACCTTTTTAGAGGCCTCATCTGAGCCTAGCTTTATAGCGATACCACTCAAGATTTATCTACTGCTTCACAGCCCTCTCTAAGCGGTTTACAGAGTCGGCATATTTGCCCCCAACGGTCTGGGTCCTCGTTTTGCCGACCTCGGAAGGACGGAAGGCTGAGTCAGCCTTGAGCCCGTCAGGATCGAACTCCTGGCAGTGGGCAGAGTCAGCCTGCAACGCTGCATTCTAACCATTTGTGCCACCACCAACTTAATTCTTCAATCGGGGGTCAAGCACAATATCATTTGGGGCTTAAAGATATTACAACCGTCTTAACACAGGGGTAGGCAACCTTGGCTCTTTTATGACTCGTGGACTTCAACTCCCAGAATTCCTGAGCCAGCCATGCTGAGGGGAAAGGGAGAGGTTTCCAAGCTGAGCCATGCTGGCTGAGGAATTCTGGGAGTTGAAGTCCACGAGTTATGAGGGGGCCAAAGTTTCCCTCATGCTGGCTCAGGAATTCTGGGAGTTGAAGTCCACGAGTCAGGACGGGGCCAAAGTTTCCCTCATGCTGGCTCAGGAATTCTGGGAGTTGAAGTCCACGAATCATGAGGGGGCCAAAGTTTCCCTCATGCTGGCTGAGGAATTCTGGGAGTTGAAGTCCACGAGTCA